GCCCTGTGAGAAGGAAGCTTCCAGGCAAGAGCCTGGAAGTTTCCCTGTAGGGAAACAGGCTGGGGCCTGTAGGCCCTGTCAGAAGGAAGCTTCCAGGCAAGAGCCTGGAAGTTTCCCTGTAGGGAAATAGGTTGGGGCCTATACAGCATGTAACAGATACTCTTAACAACGTTTCCACACGGCGTTTTGTGTTCCTTTTTTTTTTTTACGTTTTTGCGCGTCGTTTTTTGTTTGTTCTTTTTCCCTGATGGCTGTCGTTTTGTGCCCCCATTTTCCCTTTTTTTGTTTTGTTTTGCATGTTGTTTTGTGGCCCTCTTTCCCTTCTTTTTTTTTGTCGTTTTTGTCCGCGTTGTATTTTTATTTTTTTTTACTGCGGGCAGGTCCAGTTGGTTTTCCCGCTGTAAAGGGTGGCCCGCCGACCTGCACCCATGCACACCCACCCACCAACCCACCCACCAACCCACCAACCCACCAACCCACCCACACCCATGTATTTTTTTATTGTCAACTTGTTTTTTTTTGTCATTGTCTGGATTTGATTCTTTCTTTTTTCTCTCTCTTTTTTCTTCTTCTTTTTCTGTGGGTCTTGGTGAGTAGTGGAGTCTGTTTTAGGCTTTTCTTTATTACCCTTTGATTCTGTCTGAGTTTATGCGAGAGGTCCGTGTGAGGCTACCTACAACATTTGTTATTTCAGCGGGTGTAGCATGCACTGCCCGCATCCGGATGGCCCCTGCGCAAGGATGCCACGCATGAAATTACTTGTCAAATCTGGTCAGGACAGCCTTCCAGGCCTTTTTTTCATAGTCACTTTAGTATTACGGCGTAGCAGCCACATCCGTGCTCAAGCCTCCAATGAGGGAACATGAGGGAGCTGCACCCATCAGCGATACCTGCACAGCAGGTGAGCGATGCCTCATATACCTTCCTGGGCAAGCTTGGGGTCCACCACCGAGATAGGCTGTTTGGTTCATCTGAGCCTAAAGGTTGTCCCGCACATAGATGTATGTGATGTGTTTTGAAGATTTGCACTGACAACACTTCCCAACGGTCTTTTTCTGTTCAACAGCCTTCCAAATGTGATTTTTCCTCGCAGCTGGATTCGAACTCCGTCCGCATCCCCATAGGTCGTGGGTTTACCAGCTGAGCTAAGGTCGTCGGTGTTTCTTTTTCGACGTAGAAATTCGCCAGCCAGTCAGATCGAAGAGAGGGATAGACGAAACGAAAAAGAAACGAGCACATCTTCCCGTGGAAATGTTCATCCGTTACTATGGGCCTCGCCACAGACCACACGAAACGAGGAAAAGGGGAATCTTTCCAGTAGCTGTGGGAAGATCCACTCGTTTTTCCCTTCCCTACTTTTGTTTTTTTAAATTTTGGGCCTCGCTCCACTCCTCTTGACATGCACAAAACACAAAAACCATGGCGGTGTATATTTCTATGTTCAGCGGACAATTCACTCTCATTTTGCACATGTCGAGAGTAGTGGAGCGAGGCCCCCCTTTGTGTGTTGTGTGGCGAGGCCGCTGCCATAGCGCCTCCACGTGCTTTGCACTTCGTTACGGGCCTCGCTCCACTACCCACCCCAAGCAGAAAAGTCAACAAATATGACGGTGTATATTTCCATGTTATAGCGGAAGATTCCTTCTCATTTTTGCACATTTGGCGAGTCGTGGAGCGAGGCCCTGCTCGTGTTGCCGCACCAACTGCTACTTGTCCTGCTGCACCAGCTTCTTCCACCCACCGTCTGAACCGGTAGGTGGGCCGGCTTCACAGGACTTCTGCGCGAGCCACACCGCGTGTTTGAACAACCGTGCCGGATAGCTGTGTACCGAGAACTGCGGGGTGAGCACACGCGGCACCACCAGGTGCAGCCGGTTGTGCCGTGGCGCGCCCCGGCCGGCATTGGCCTTCCTGCCGGGCGGAACTGTGAAAGATTGTACTCCGTGCGGCGCGCTGCGTTTCCCCTCCCTGAGGCTCTCTCCCGTCTTCGCTATTCAGGCGCGCTTTGTCGCGGACCTCGCTGCTGTGTCTTCGTCGCCGTTGCGTGCACGATTGCGTGGGGCAGCGCTGCCGTCCGCGCTCAATTCAACGACGTGTCGTGCATAATCGCATGCAGCGAATGCCAGACCTTCAATCGTTGCGACGAACGGTCGAGGAATAGCGAAGACGGAGAGCGTAAGCTGGTGCGTTTGATCGTTGTACTTCCTCCCCGTATCCCGTTCCGTCCTCCTTCCCCTCTCCCTATCCACACCTGATTAACAACCTTTGTTTTTCTTTCCCGCCCTCATCGCCATCTTCATTGAATTTCGTCTTTCGCTTTCGTTCTGCTTCTTTCCTTGTTTTTTTCTGCCTTTCGTACCCGTATATAGCTATATATATACTGATAAGTCGGTGAAACTCCGCCACAGCCCCTCGTTTGTTGTCCTCTTCTCCCTCTCTGCCTATAGTTTACTGGGCAGATCTGTTTGACGATATATATATCTTTGTATAGCTAATACCTGCATATATCTATCCTTTGCCTTCTCTCGTCCTATCCTCCTCCTCCTCCTCCTCCTCCTCCCTCCTCCTTCCTCCCTCCTCCTCGCACTGCTCCCGCGTCGGCTTCTCCTTCAATATTCTCGGTTTCCGCCTCTGCCCTCCTCTTCGTCTGCCGTGGTCAGGTTCTCGCTGCAGAAGGGAAAGGAGAGGAAAGGATGATACGACGGAAAAAATGGAAGAGGAAGAAAAGGATGATACGATGGAAGAAATGGACGAGGAAGAAGGAAAATGAAAGAAGGAAGATCCTCGAACTTGAAAGAAGACAAATGAAAGAAGTTTCAAGGGCATGTACACGTTGATTTATTTTATCTACATTTTAACAAGTTATCTATATCTTGTTTGTTTATGTATATGTATTCATGTATACATATTTTATTTACTTGTTTATTTCGCCAGAAAATAGTAATCTTTTGTAGTGTTGGATGGCTTGAGGCTGCGCTCTTAGCTGCGCAAAGGGTCTTCTTCTTCTATTCCTTGAGAAGTATTTCGCTCTGCGCAGCATCGGGTAATCGTTAGGCTTTTTTTTCTCGTTTGCACCGGGCCACGCCTCTCCCTTCGGTTTGAATCTTCCCCCTGCCGCCCGCCACCCTCGTCTTCTCCGCCGTGTTGCTCGTTTTCTCCCCTTGCGCAGTCAATGGGAGACAGTGTAGCGTCAAAGAGATTTGGCGCTCATCGGGCCGGAGGGAGTGCCGGATATCAAATGGTTTGGCGGAAGCTGAATCATGATTGATTCGCGCGTGCGCGCATGCGCGGTGATGAGGACGGGCATTACCCAGTGTCAGCATCACACGTCAAAGGCAGCTCCCCGTTTCCAAAGGCTTCCGCGAACCGGCGCGCTCGCCACGTGTGCGTATGCCTGCTTCCGCGCATCTTGTGTGCGATGCGCGCGCGCGCGCGCGCGAGAGAGAGAGAGAGAGAGAGAGAGAGAGAGATTCTCATATGCGAGGGGTGCGAACTACCTAGTGTGACAGGAAGGCAAGGCGAGCATTCATGGTGCGCATGCCGACCGAGGCGATCGTCTTCCTCGTCGACCTGTCATCGATCAGAGCTTGTCTTTTCTCCGTTCGTCTTCTGTTGCTCAGGTTGCTTACCGTGTCTTTGTCTACAAGTAGTACTTTCTGTGCGCAGTTTTCGCCCATGCCGTTTCCACTGCTTTTCCGGTTCATAATTACGTGCTGGTTTTCTCAATGATTCGTACACGTGTGTGTATGTGGGAGAGGGGGGGGGAATGCAGAGATACAGAGACACAGAGAGAGAGAGAGACAGAGAGAGAGACACACAGAGAGATAGATAGATAGAGAGAGAGAGAGAGAGAGAGAGAGAGAGAGAGAGAGAGAGAGAGAGAGAGAGAGAGAGAGAGAGAGAGAGA